CCACAGTCCCCGCTCCATCTCACACTCAACCTCACTTCCCCGGATAAATAAATCAAAAAGGTACAGACAACCTTACATGCCCTCCAGCACCCCCCCACCCCTCCATCTCCCACCCCACTGAAGAATCATACCACCCCCACCTAGCCGTCCCATGCCTACTATGCTCCCCATCTCTCCTAACTCCCTTCCCCCAACACTATACCCCCCACCATAAGTAGATAAGGAATGAGGGTTTAGGGTTTTAGCATTGGAAAGATAAGCAACTTGTTAAAAATAGAAGCCTAAAACACAGTCTAAGGCTAAAGAGCACTTCAGTCCATAGAAAGGTAAGGCCAGGGTCATAGACAAGGGCGCAGATGAAGGCTGAACTAGCTCTACCAGTAATACGCACAGATCGGACAGCCATACAGCTGAGAGGAAAAGCTAGAATCAGCCACTTCCACCTCCGCTTCCTCTTCCTTGCCGATTTTCAGGACTTCGTTTGAAATTACTGGTTTGATTCTTGTCTCTTTGACCATCAAGTTGAGCACTTCCTGGCTTGGATCCTGTTCATTTTGGGAGTGCATTCTTCTGGATTCTGCTGTTGAGGTGTGATCTTTGGCTGTGCCCGAGGCAGATCCTGAGGCTGGGCCTGAGGCTTGTCCAGATGCAGATCCCAGGGGGAGCCTGTGATCGAGTTTGGTCCAGCGGTTGGGGTTGGCACCGGTGTTGCAACGTGAGAGCGCGCCATTGTGATGTTTGACCGCTAGGCAGGTTGGTCGTGAAACAGAGTAATGTCTTAATCAAGATGGGAATAGTCAAGATTACGCCAGACCAGATCTCGTTTGTGAGATGGGATGAGACTGCGGAGAGCGGTCACAGTCTGGAGGCTATCTGCATAAAAATCGGCAGTAGTTTGCCTCCTCACCCGGGGATTTGGGTTCTGGTCTGAGGTGGGGAGGAATATCGGCAGAGGTTCCCCTTCCCTCCTGGGGATAGAGGGAAGGGAAACCCCTTTGAAAGAGGGGATATGATGAGGCGAGGATTTGAAATGGTGATTTGGACAGAGCTTCGCCTCCCCGCCTGGGGAGCGTGGAAGCTTAACCGGGTTTCAAAGAAAAAGGACAGTGCTTGGACTACCCACCTGGGGATCATTGGATCATATACCGGATTGAACTAAAGGGAGCATACGGGAGACAGGTCCTCGCTGCCGATGACGGGAAGACAGAGTAACACCTCCCCACTTGGGGATCTTGCGAGCAGATCTAGAAGCGTGTCTGAGATGGACGAAAAGATAGTGTTGAGAGTTAAGTGGGAGGGGAAGATTTCTAACGGGGAGTAATTTTATCACGAAAAAAGAGACGGAAAGTGTGGAAAAGGTCGCAAAAATGGATGCGACTCACGAATCGACAATGATGTTAAAAAAAAAAAAAAAAAAAAAAAAAAAAAAACTTAGTGCAGAAATTAATGTTAAGTATGGTTACGTCAGTCTGGGATATGTTTGTGTGGGGAGGGGAGGGAGAGAGAGCGACGGGTTGTGAGAGGTCCAAAGAGACGGTATGTTGAGGGATGGGGTGAATTCAGGAAGCCCGCTGTACGGGGTTGAGGGGGTAGGTAGTGGGAGTAGGGTCGAGCTATGGAAGATCGGGGGGGATTAGGGGGCAGTTCGGGAGGAAGGAAGTGGAGAGGAAACGACGAGCTAGGTGAGGGGGTGACCGTCGGGGTACGGAGATTTGGGAGAGGGGACGGATGTTCTGGGTAAGGAGGAAGGGTGTGGGAGCGTGGGTCCGCGTGAGGAGAGACGGGGGAGAGATGGGGTGGAGAGTGGATGTGGTGGGGGGGGGCCGGGAAGGTTTCGACGAGACTTTGGGGTAGGGCGAGACGGGGCGGGGAGTCGGGGTGGGGAGTTGGGTTACTACGCCCCGGGTGAAGTGTTACGGGTTGGTTGTTGAATGTAGTTGTGTGCCGTCTAGCATGCAGAACCTAAGGATAGGGTGTGTCTTATATCTGAATGAACTATTGATAGTCCGAGTTGGTTGTTGACCTGTTGCTGAATGGCATTCCTCTGCTTACTGGTATTGCAAAGCTATAATCCAGTCCGGTTTCCTTGTCCTCCCCTTGGGTTTCCTCCTCTCCCTCTCTGCATCTTTCCTCTCCTCTTGCCGTCCCGTGGGCTCTTGTCCTCATCCGCTCGCTGCTTTGCGCGGGGTAGGGAACGTTATGGATGTAACCTGGCCAGTACTTCCCTCTTGGTGACAGTCATGCAATCGAGTCTGCTGTCCTCTTCCCAGATCTCCCGCTGGAAAATGGAATCTACTGCCTAACTTCCTCCTGCCGTGCTCTGCCTTGACTGGAAGTATCAGTAAGGTTTCTGTGTGGGGTAAGGTCTGGCTTGAGTCGACTTACCTTGTTTAGCATGGGACACGATTCGCAATCACCTCTTTCCGTCGAACTGTTGGAGATTCGTCGTTAGTGCTCAGCGCCTTTCTGTCCTCCTTTGTCTTCACTCCACATAAACGCCTTTAATTTCCTCGACATTTCACTGCTCCTTCCTTGTTCGTCCTTCTTTCCCCATGCTCCTTTCTATCCCTTCTCTTCCCCCTTCTCCCTCTTCACTGTTCCTCCTTTCGTTTCACCACGGGTTTTACTTTCTTCGCCTGTCCTTTCCTCGAGATAGTAATAAGTTGCCGCGCCTGAAGGCGCGGCTCTACTAATTACTTGTGTCCTCTTCTTCCCCTGTACATTCCGTTGTCCTTTCCTATTCTTGGTATCTTCCCTCTTCTCTTTCTTTCTTCGAAGTTTTTCTCTCCTGCTCGACTCGGAAAGGATTGTACTTGTTTCCTTTCTTTTCATGCTCCTCTCCTCCGTTGTCTTTTCCTGATCTTAGTTGCGTCCTGTTTCTTTCGTTTCCCTAGTTGTTCTCGCTGCTCATCCCTCTGCCTTCTTTCTCTCACCTTGTCCTCTCTTTCCTTCTTGTCTCTACCCACTATGAGTGTAGCCACGCCCGAAGGGTGGCAGGCTGAGTCTTGTTCTCTCCTTCTATTTTCCCGCCTTTTCTCTTCACGTTCGAAAAGTAATGATGCACGTGTTCGTGCGCGATGCGAATTCCCGCGCGGGTCGAGCGAATTCGTCGCGGCGTGGTACTGGGGATTAGTGCTGGAAAGATAGCGCTCACCGGACGGCGCTAGCGCTCCTGATTGTGACTGAGACTCTTCACTTCACGGGACTTTGGATCTTCGCCCAATCTTGTTCCTGATTGTGACTGAGACTCTTCACTTCACGGGACTTTGGATCTTCGCCCGATCTTAAAATCTTAAGATCGTCCGACGATCCAGGTCGTCGGCCCGGTAGGACCACGGACGGCCCGGATGTCTGATTTCTCACATTAGCAATTTTTATAAGTGTAGGGATACATCTCCAGCTTGTGTTTCGGTAACAGGTGAAGCAGTCAGACTACCTGCACCAGCTTGAAAAATGGTGAATTAACCCGAGTGAGTTGCTAAGAAACTCTGAGTAAATTTTTGACAAAAGTTAGCCAGTTGACTATCGATTTGTCTGGGAAGTCTTCTTGCCTTTATCATTAGCATCTGGTGGTTAGATGATGGGTCAATCATTTATTTCACTAGGGCGATTCTATCCGGCTGAAGCTGGTAGTTCCAGATCAGATCCGCTTTTTCCTTTTTCCCTTTTTCTTTCCAGATCGAATACACTTGACTGGAGACTTCAACAAAAAAAAAAGAAAGGCACCAAAGAAAGGGCATTTTTATTTTCTTTTTAACACCCAGGTTGTTGTAGAGGCAGGGTATCAGGTGCGGGAATACTCTCCCAGGTTCAGTCGCTCGAAGTTCGGAATGACCCACTTGGCCCTCTGGACCTTCCTAGATGGTGTCATCTACGGGCTTAGACCCCAAAGTCCTATTGCAAGTCGTGTCCCCTCCACACCATACAGCTTGCCACCAGAGATCAGATTCTGTCCCTACAGATCCAACTCCAACTGGATGTACTTCCAGCCCACAATAAGCAGCTTTATCCCCCAACCATTGACTTAGCAGGTCCCTAGCCGATCCCCCCTTGGACAGGCGTAGAGGGCCTACCTCCCTCCTATTAATGTACAGTACACACCCCCCTCGATCCATCTATCCTACCCACTATTCAGGAGACAGGCTCAGTACAAGTCCTAAGCGAGTTACGCTTTTATCGGCGTCCTCTCTACCAGTCCCTCCAGCCCCTATACCCATCTCATAGCCTACCCTTGCTTGGCCCCTGGCGTGCCCCGCCATCCCCCCCCTTTTTTCTAACCCCTAACAATGTTTAAGAGGGGCCTTCACACAGTCTAGGCCTCATCGGCCAAGATTGGGGAACGCGCATAAATCAAGAAAGGGCATTATCGCTGTGACTGTATCATAAATACTATCATTAGATTCAGGTTCAAATACTGCCTCTCCCACTTCATGGCCTTCATACATTACATTTTAGTCCTTTTTTTATTTTTTTTCAGTAAAAGAGAACAAGCTACTAAATGAAATCAAGCTGCGCATACACTGCCATACAGTGTCCTACAGATGCAAACTTTCCTATCAAAGTGCGTTCTGAAAAACAAAAAAAACAAAAAACAAAAAAAGCTGCAAAAGAAAAAAGAAAAGGGAGGAGGAGAATGTTTATGGCTCGGCCCACGTTAACATATCCAGTTTCTGTGGACTGGATTAAGCTGCAAGCCTGCAACCCATTGAAAATAGGGCGGAAGACGTCAACGGAGCCCCCTGAGAAGTCTGTCAATACCTCAGTGACGCCTGATAAACGTGACCTAGTCAAAAGCGGCACATGGAGGATGATGGAGCTCATTGAAACAGAAAAGGTTGAGCTCCATGGATCACTTGCATGTTGTGCTGTATTCGGGAAAAACATTGATTTTTTTATGTAGTTAGCAAGAAGCGAGCCCAGAGTGACGAAATTGTTCAAGGCGACATGTGCCAGAATAGCACCAAGTGTGGCACAAGCACTTAATTGAGTTACCATCATACCTTCTGAAAATTGCTCATGACCGCAGCAAATGATGTCTTTGCACGGAATTTCACAGCCACATCATTCTTGTTGATTATGCCTTTGAAGGCATCGCCAAAGGACCCTTTGGCAAGAAGGGTCTCAAAACAGCTGGTGGCATCTGCAATGTCTTCCAGTGTGAGCTTCCATGGGGATTCTGTGGAATGAAAATGGAGCCTTGGCTTCCGCAGAAAGCCTGTGACACACAGAGATAGCCAAACAAACAGACAGACAGGCAGACAGACAGAAAGACGGACAGACAGACAGACAGACAGAAAGACAGACGGACAGACAGACAGACAGCCGGACAGACAGACAGACAGACGGGTAGGCAGTCAGTCAGACAGACGCACAGAGACAGACAAACAACCAAAACAAAATCAAACTGAGGTAGACAGACAGACAGACGGACAGGCAAACAACCACAACAAAAACAACTGTGACAAACAGACAAACAATCCAGATTATCCAGCCCAAAAAAAAACAGACCACAACACAAACACAAACACAAACAAAACACAACCCAACCCAACCCAACCCAACCCAACCCAACCCAACCCCACCCCACCCCAACCCCAACCACAAACACTAACACAAACACTAACACCACCACCAACACAAATACTACCACCAACACAAACACTACCTCCAACACAAACACCTACCACCAACACAAACACTACCACCAACACAACACAACCACCAACACAACACAACCACCTACACAACACAACCACCAACACAACACAACCAAAAAATATGCAAACACGTATGGTAGTAAGTTGTTGCACCAAACACAGAAAAATCCCCGCAAAATCCCTGAAGAAATGTGATCATAAGGCTAAGCCTCTAAGGTAAACGTTACTAAATAACAAGGTTCAGTTAAACCACCAGTTCACACGAACTTAGTCCTCTTACCCTTATATACGCGGTAAGAGCGTTTCGATTCAGGCCTGCGCCAGTAGCGAAAGCGCCCTTTGAAAAGGCGCAGTTGCAAGCTCGTGAGCTTTCGAAGGTCGTTTTGTCACCGTACGTCCGTCAACTGGTGGGATAAAGTTTGAACTTTAAATTTTAAACAATAATAAGGCTAAGGCCAAGGTAAACAATAAGGCTGAGGATAACATTAAAAAAAAAAGCAAAATACAAGGCGAAGGGGGCACAATAGTTAACACCGGTTAAGGTCATTTTTCAGAGGATAAGGGAAAACCTCAACAGAGCAGCAGCGGCAGCAGCAGCAAGGCAAAGGCTGATGATATACTCGGATAAAGCAATGGGTTAAGCAAAAAGGAGTACAGGTAAGGCGAGAGCAAAAGCAAACGCAAATGCAAAAGCAAAAGTAGGCAGGTTTTGGAATTCAAATGCTCATATCACTCCCCTCTAGCCCATTGACCTGGGGTTTTCTGAAGAAGAATAAAAAGTGTCCTTAGGTCAGAGACAGAAAAAAAGTGACAGACACCGGGAGTGCTCACCTGCAGCCTTGTTTGACGCTTGCCTTGCAACCCCTGCCGGCCTGGTCTCGCCCGACGCACGGAACCTACTTTCCAGTAGGAAATGACAAAGGGGTTCTTCTGCTCGTGCTAACCCACCCAACACAAAAGTAATTTTAGCACAAATTAGTTAGCTCAGGATCATTGTTTTTTTTTGTTTTTTTTTTTTTGAACAAAAGCAGCTTTGCGTTATAAAACCGGGAGACGGGCCGGCTACGGCATTCATGTCAGCTCGTGATCGGGGGGGATTGCAAATTCCTGTTGGCTGAATGCCATACACATGTAACTGTTTTTTTTTTTTGTTTTTTTTTTTTGAAAACAGGTCCTTATGGCCCTGGCTCCATTTCCATTCTGGGGAGCATCAGTCCGGTTACTATTCCACCGGCAAGTCAGGAAATAATACAACATAGGACACCCACACGCTTCCTTCCGTCTGGCCGAAGGAACCCTGATCAGCATTGATTACTCCAGCAACGCGGAGGATTGACTGTCAGCTTGCCCTGCTTACTCCTTTCCTCTCAGGACTACTACAAGAACCTGCGGATAAAACGTGCAAAACAGGAGAGGAAATGACTACTACAAGAACCTGCGGATAAAACATGCAAAACAAGAAAGGACTGAGAAGCTACAAACTGCTGCCAATGCTGTCTAAACTCTAAGCCCCACAAATAAGAATTGTGAAATCCTTAACATTCTACTCCCTGCTTGTCTTGTTCCTGTCCAAAACCTCAGACCTAAACCCTAAACCCTAAAGAAGATTAATCCTCTTCCATATGTTCCATGTAAAGCATCGGCTGCCGCCTGTCACGCGTGTATCTTGGATGCTCTTCTAGGCCCAAGTTGGGGCTGGTTCCTCCAGTACCTGGATGTTCTGCAGGGATGCCAAATTGACCGAATTGTGCCATTTTTTCCATCATAAAACGTGCCCAATCGGCCTTGTCTTTTTGTCACCTACCAACCTGATCCGCTTGGATTTGGCAAGTGTCACCTGTTGTGACTCTGGATTGTTCTGCACCCAGAGTTTAACCTTTCTCCAATGGAGACGATTTCCGCTTCAATCATCTCTTTGGTTGCTGCCCGCACATTCTCCCGTGGGTACTTCGTGCCATCCAGAGTTCTGCTGCAACTCTCCTTTCGTATGGCCCATAGCGTGACCTTGCGTACCGTCCCGAACCATATTTTCTCTGATTGGCCAAAGTTAGAGGGTCAATTAGTCCAGAGTAGCAGTTGAAGGCGTGCTCTGGGAATGAGTGTCTGCTACTTGACTTTGATGGGCAGTTCCGGTCCCTTTTCTGCCTGTTTCTCACTGTCGATTGGACCTATGACGTGTCTTTATTTACCTGGAACTGTGGGTGTGATGGACCCTTTTGCTCTAAATTCAGGATCCTTTGGAGCAGTTTTCCTTGAAGGTAAAGTCTGATGTTAAAAGCCCTAAACCCTCGGTAACCGGTGGCGTGCTGACCAAATAGAGAGTAACTTCAAGTAGTAACGTCTGCAAGCTTCCTTGGAAAAGGGCGTCTGAGGCTACCACCCTAAACCCTAGTGATCTGGGAGGCAAGGGGCGCTTTGACCGAGCTGTTACTAGGAGCCTGGACCGTTCATCTTGATGGGGGGTGGTTGGGTGGGTGATAGGTGTTAGGATTTAGTGTGGAGTGGTTGACGTTGGTGAAACCTGAAGGATGGGAGGGTATTTAGATTGGTGAGGTAGAGTTCGCGAGAAGTTTGATGGTGGGCGGTGGTTGGGGGGGGTGCGGTGGTGGGTGGTTTGGGGGGGATGCGGTGGTAGATGGTTAGGTTGGGTTGATAGAGTGGTTTATATGTCGTTGTCTGTTCTGTTAAATGCGATGAGAGGTAGGTTGTTTGAAAGTGTGGATTGTGAATGAGTGATAGGGTTTTGGATATTTAGTGTAGGCATGACTAACCAGTCCTTCATGCGCAATCTCTTTCTACTGTTCCTAGTTTCCCGTTGCCTAGATTCCGGGATGATCTCTTGTTTCTTGTCCGGGGTATTTTGGAGGGGCTGGAGTTTCGTGCTTGTTCTTTTCCATGGTACTTGGATTTCCGTTTCCACCATATATTTAATGGCTATGAGGGGTTTTCCCGGCGAGTTACTAGGGTCCCCGAAGGTTGCTGCGCATCTCCTTCCAAATAGTCCAGAGGGTCGATTTTTTGATGAGTGAGAAGAAGAAAAGCTCTAAACCTTTGAGGGGTGGGTCTTGTTCTGTTTCTAAGAATAGGGTGCCTGGGTTGATCGCGATGATTTTATTAGAGTGTTTGTTCCAGGTTAATTACATGTCTTGCCAGAGTTGCTTTGTCTTTTGGCAATCGATGAAGCAATGGTTGAGAGATTCTTCGAGTTGGGCGTTGCACACCCTGCACCAGGATTTCTGTTCGGTGTCATTATCTTTCTTTCTTCTTTGTGATAGCCAGAGATTGACGGGTACTGCACAAAAAGTTATGAGCCGTAGTAGACTAGCTAGTTTAGGTGGTCTTGTGCAAAATATAGAGGTCCATGATGGGTTGATGTTGTCTGATGTGATAGTGCTTTCCTCCTTTTCCCAACGTTTTCGTATGATAGTGTGTATGGAGGGGGTTTTGTTGTGGAGCTTGTAGCCTAATTTGGGTGTGTAGTCAGTGAGTGCATAGCGGCGTTCTCTTGTGGAAAGTGGGCTGATTGTGCTCCAAGACCATTCAGCAGGATCTATTTCTAGGTGGTTTATTTCAGTTTCGGGTCTGTATACTCTGTTTCTGTCTCAATGACCCAGATCCTTCTAAGTTTGGATGATATAAAGGCTCCTTCTGCTCTTGGTTGTTTGCTGATGTAACTAGCTGGGTTTCCTGGATCCTGTAGGGGATGGATGGAACAAAGAATCCAATTCTTATTCTTCAGGTTGTTGTTTGTGACTCTAAGTATCTCTATGGGTTGTGTTTATTCTCTGCTTGATGCCCACTCTCCCCACATCCAATTTTGTTTAGTCTTCAATAACTGATGCCATTCAAGAGGTATGCTTTCGATGATGTGATTGATGCTGGCCTGCAGGTTGTGGCAACCTTTTAGTACGATCCGCAGATCTTTTGCAGATTTCCAGTTGTTTGCTTGTTCATTCCAGAGGTGTTGCACTTGCCATACGCCTTTCTCTACCCAATGTCCCCATTTAATGTCTGTTTTGGTGAGAGAGAAGCTGAGGCCATTTTCTTCTTTGATCCATGGATTACCGAAGAGGGGCTGTCTGAGGACTTCATCTCTTTTCTTTGGGCCGATTTTATTCAGCGGGAAGATCTTTCTCCATATGCGGATGAGTTGTTCCCATAATGATTTTGTGTTTCCATTCTCTGTTTCCTCGTCTGCGTTAGGAAGGGGGTTGTTGTTCTTCTTTTCTCTTGGCAAAGGCCATGACTTGTTATATATCCAAAAGAGGCCTGGCATGTTGGGGGGGCATGTAAAAGGTGCCAAGTCCTTGATGTGACGTAGGGCCAGTGGTACCCATTGTAGGTTGCTTTGCAAGGTGAGTCTGATTATCCATGTAGTCTGGAGGGCCTCAATCTGTCGAGTTGGGTCTAGAATTCCCAGCCCTCCTCTGTCTTTGGACTGGGTGACGATTTGCCATGCGACCTTGTGGATGAAATGTTGTTTATTCGGGTTGCCAGTCCAAAGGTAGGCTGCTGCCCTATGGCGGATTTGCTTTTGGAAGTCTGATTCGGGGAACCATATCGATTTGGAGTACCACATCATTGAAAGGATAGAGTTATTTAGGGCTAAGGCTCTTCCGAGAAGTGAGGTGTGGATTCCTTGCCAGCTGTTCATTTTGTTGATTAAAGATGACATCAGGGATGCGGCCGAGGTGGGGTGACATCCTTTTGTGCAGAGGTTTATGCCTAGGAAGCGGATTGGTGTGGTTGGGTCTGTCCATTGTAACCTTTCTGGGGATAGTTCTATGGGGGGGGGGCGAGTCTGCTAGCCACCATCCGACTGTCTTTGCCCAGTTCACTTTCATTTCTGATGCTAATTGAAAGGCTTGCATAGCTCTTGTGAGAGCTTGGAATGAAGAATTTGCGGCTCTCATAAGGACCGTGAGGTCATCTGCGAAAAACAGGGTAGGCGAGAGCTGGAGTGTGTTGATACTATTTAGTCTTTCTATAGATATGTCCTTTCTGAGGAAGGCCGCGATTGCTTCCATAACGAAGAGGAAAATGGGGGCTGCCAGTGGGTCTCCCTGTCTAACCGATCTTGTCATTTTGTATGGGTTGGAGAGGAAGCCGTTTACCTGGACTATGCCCTGTGCGTCTTTGTAAAGGATTCTCACCCATTTACGGAAATTTGGGCCTACTCCCATTTTCTCCATACAGGTTTGTAGGAAGTCCCAATTGACTTGGTCGTAGGCTTTCTCAAAGTCAAAGAAGAGTATTGCTGCCGTTATTCGTTTCTGAGTGATTAGCCTAGTGGACTCACAGAGGGTCATAACGTTATCTAGTATGAGTCTGCCTGGAATGACTCCTGTTTGGTCTAGATGGAAGAGTTACCCGTGGTGTGGTTGATTCTTGTGGCTAGGAGTCTGGCCAGGAGTTTGTAGGCGACATTAAGAAGAGAGATGGGTCTATAGTTTTTTATGTTCTTTCTGTCTCCTTTCTTATAGAGTAAGGTCACTACTCCGGTGCTTAGGTCTGGCCCCAAGGATTCCTGTTCCCATGCCTTGTTAAGGAAGCGTAAGTGAAGAGGGCCGAGTGAGAGCCAACATGCGGCCCATAATTCTTTTGAGAGGCCATCTTTACCTGGCGCTTTGTTGGGTTTTAGGTCCTTGAGGGCTACGTGAAGTTCTTCAAGTGTGATTGGTTCCTCCAGTTTGTTGCCCGCTTCTGCTGAAAGGCTACGATCCAAGTGTGTCAGGAATTTCGCTCTGGCTCTTTTCACATCATTGTTGTTGTCTGAGCTCGTTTTGCTAGTGTAGAGTTCTTCATAGAATTTGGTAGCTATGTTGATCAGTTGTGTGGTTTTTGTGGTGGGTTTATCATTTTCGTCTAGGAGGCTTTCTATCTTGGCGTTTCGGGAATTGGCTTTAATTTTCTGAAAGAAGAATTTGGACATTTTCTCA